CACACACACACACACACACACACACACACACACACACACACACAGAGTCATATGACTGTATGTCCAATAATTAAATTACTTTGATGTTGCTGTTTCAAAAAGTGTCAGCATTATTTCCATCCAATCTAAACAAACGCGTGATGACCAACATGTAGCGGCGCCATAAGTCCCATGACATGTCACAGCTGCTTATTGTCCCATATCTGCTTCAGAGACTCATAATCACTGTGACACATGCACTATTAACAGATAGTGGCCAGGGAATAAGAAAAATGCAATGTATGGTGACTCTCGCAATAGCCATGATAAAAAGTACTTTTTTAATGTTTAGTCTGAATATATACATGTATTTGACAGTGTGGCTTTTGCAACCCTGTACCAGTTTTTATTTTTCACCTTCACTTGCAGTGCAGACACAAAACCAAAACTGACATGAACTTTATCTTATTAGTATAGTGACTCAATGCAACATAGCTGCAGTGCAGAGAATCTTCACAAAATCTAACCCCTTTGTAATGCAGTTGAGACCTTGGCTGGCTTGTGTATCTACTTTGTGGTTGCTTGAAACTTAGTGTGAATTCTGCAGAAAGAAACATTCTCAGCCCCCCTTCACACTGCCTGTATGTACATGTGTGTGTGCGTGCGTGTATGCATAATGTAAGTGACAGCGAGCATGCGCCTCCTCTTACGTCAATGGGCTGTTCATCGTCTGTTCTCAGCGCCTCTGAGCCCCTTAGTGTCGGGAAAACCAGTGAGTGCTCAGTTTTTAAACACGATTGCGGTTTTTCTCAGGTGTTTCTGTCTTTCTCTCTTTTCTTCTCTGTGTTTTTAAATGAATGGTCTCAAAAAACCCAAACATCCGCTCCTTACTTCCTCATTTACCGCTTTCTTTTATCGGCTTCATCGCTCTCTCTCTCTCTCTCTCCCTCTCTCTCCATTTCTGTTATGTGTCACTTGCTTGTCCTCGCTATCATTTGAATACATATAATGTGAAATGTGCGTATGTGTTGATTGCCTTACGGCTCGTACAAATTTATTCCTACATGCTTCCAGTCAGTCGGTCCATATACCTGCACAATAACACCATTGTCTGCTTGCAGTTTGGCAATACTCTGATCACTGAAACTGTCACGTAAACACCTTTACTGCGTCAATATTGTAATTGCAGACTTAGATCATTTCAAATTACTATGACATGTAGACCCAATACTTTGTTTTTGTATTTTTACAGTATTTTGATTCTGCACATGCCCTGGTCCAGATATAAACATTCAGCTTTTGGTTCCAGAAAAGTCTACACAGGGGTACTGCGAGGCTAGATGCATGCTTTCAATTAAATGCATATGTTGGCATGGCAAAATGCTTACAGTTACAGCGCTAACATGCTGATGTTATGCAGGACATGTTTAACATGTTAACCATCGAGTTAGCATGCTAATATTTGCTAATTGGCACTAAATGTTAAGAACCGTTGAAGTCGATGGAAATGTAGTTTTTAGGTATTTTCCAAAAAGAAAAGAATTGGACGAAAAGGTTATAATAGCTCATTCTGTCAACCTCAAGGTGCTAAAGGGAAAGTCAGGGGATCACAAAAGTCATTAGGATTTATCCTCTGGGTACCGTAGCTATCCGTGCCAAATTCCATGGCAACCTGTCAAATTCTTGTGATATTTCAGTCAGGACCAAAGTGGTGTACCAATAGAATTACTTACATTAGCATCTGTAGAGCCACGCCACCAGCATTAAACACTCTATACCGGCAAAAAACTGAGCTTGCGCTAAGATATTCTCTAAATTCATCAACACGTCAACTTGTCCCCAGAGATGTATCTCTTTTTCCTCTCTCTCATTTTACATTGTATATTTTTCTGTCCCACAGCCAGACACTTATCCCCTGTTCACACTGAAGCAACAACGTAGGAAAAGACAGTGTTTGCTTATGGTGTGAATGTGTCACTATGCTATATGACCTGGGTCCACAGTCCTCCGACCTGTTTCACTGTTGTCAAACACTGCTCGAATGTAGTATGAGAGAGTGAACGCGAGTTCACGCTATCTGTGAGATTGTGTCTTGGACTACCGTTGCAAGCCCAAGTTTTCTGTCGACGTTGACGATATTTGCACAGAATAACGTTCAATATTCTATATCATCCAAGCATTGAGCTCAAGTAGTTACTTTATAGGAGCTTCAGAGGTGCATCACTCACTCACTCACTTACTTACTCACTCATTACCTCTTTGACTGACTTTTGCACTGTGATGACTTTTGACAGTTAGATGTGAACCTTATAATGAATGTAGAAATGCTCTGGGAAAAAAACCAACAGATCCCACAAAACAACAAATTGCCTGCTCATCCAGGTTTCCCCATGAATACTTCTACCCACAAAATATGGATGTAGCATCATTCTTCGTGACGATCATTTCTTGTTTTTGGACTGTCCTACGTCTCTGCTTCTCTTTTGTTTACTATTCACACACACTGACACATCACCTCATTGCTCAGCTGGTCCTCAGACCACAGATTATGTTAGGCTTCAGTCGGATCATTCAGTTTGGCTACGTTCTCACCATCCACACCAAACAGGATACCACATGGTGCTGCCTCCTCTTTATTTTCTCTCTGTCTCTCTCTCTCTCTCTCTCTCTCTCTCTCTATCATACGCACACACAGTTACACTGGGACTGTCAGTGTTGATGCGGTAGGCCCAGGACTCCTGTCTGCGTCAGTGCCGCTTTGCCTTGGGGTTATCTGGGGCTGTGGTCTGCCCCACTTCCAGGAACTAGAAACAGTACAGTTTCATCTTGAGAGGAAAGAGAAAGAGATGGATGCAGATAGAGTTGTGTATAACAAGAGAGAACGTCACCTTTTACCTTTATTAAGGCAACTATTGACACATTAGTTGAGCTCAATGCTTAGAGAGATGAATAACTATATCTGACTGTGACTGCAGGGGATTTTTAAGGCAAATAATAGATGATGATAGCATGGAATGTACAGTAAATATTACAAATAGATCTTTTTTAATACAGATTTGTTCACTATTCATAGCTCAGTTACAGGAACAGGGACCAGCTGAGGAAAGAACCACTGTGCTTACTCCCTTTCCAATAAAGTTCTGCTTTTTCTGCTGTTCGTAAATCAGCTGATTGTTTATTGCAGTTGCAGTTTCAACCTGCTCTTGCACAGGACTATTTAGTTTGAGAGTCGGTGTCCATGCTGGCTCATTCGTTAGCAATTATGCATGTTTGCACACATGCACGCACAGTTTATCCACGATTTGCATTCACTTTTTGGGAGTAAAATCTAAAGTTGAATTATATACACGGACATAGAGCATTACTGTTTTTTCCTGCAACCACCAAGTGATTGTTGGCAAATGTTTATCCTTTAGTTTAACAGATCAAAGGCATTATTCTGTTCATACTTGCCTTCATCAAGTTGTCAAATTATTTGAATGTTTCCACTGTGACTATTGCGATTATGTAAGCTGTTTGGTTCATATGTGGTTGGAAGAGATCATTAGAGTAATGTGATACTGTAATAAGGTAGATAGATAGATTCCTTGAACACACACCAGTTTTAATAAAATGTGCAGAAAAGTGTTAAAGAGTTGCTGGGGAGTGTCTGTTGTTTGCTCAAAGAGGTCTCTCATCTATGTCTATTCAGGCAGGATATTAGTTTCGTCAATGACTTCACGTCAGTGGGACACATTGCTGAGAGGAAGTGTTGCAAGTGATTTTGTCACTGTAAGAACTTATTTGCTGACCTCAAATTCTATGCAAGGGTGCTTTTAGCTTCTCAAGAAGCTCCCCTGTTTCCTGTACCATGAATGTACTGTATGTCTGAATGGGACCTATCCTTTGGATGAAGTTGACTGAGTGAACCTACAGAAAGTCCCTGTCAGAAACCATACTGCTTAAAGGCTGGATTTCACAGCACACAGAGCGAGATAAAGAATGCTGCCATTGTTGCTGACAACAGGAAGTGACATAAAATCAGTATGGCTCTTACTGGAAGTTGATTTCTTGAAAAAGAAAAATGTGAAAAGCTGCATTACGTTTTTCTACAGCATGCCCCTCCCCCTGCTTGGGTTTCTGCTTTTCCCTGTCCTAAGCTTTGGCCTGTGTTTGTTATTTCGCTAAACGTAGAGACCACAGATAGTGGTTTCCCTTAAATCTTGATAAGGCTGTGATAAGGGTGGTGTGTGTCGTGCCTGTGTGAGTCTATCCATGAAGCTCCTCGGTACAACTGTTTCTGGGATAATTTAGATCAAGTTTTCTTTTTCAAGTTAGGGGCAGTTTAGTGGGTAGCCCCCATTTTCCCAAAATGTTGATCTATTGTTTTAAGTTGACCTCTTGACTGATTTTATTGCTGTATAACATGGGAAAGGGTTTTGTTTAATTTAATTTATTTCTGTGCCCAGGACCATGATCGCATGGTATGGAGCATAAACAAAACATACAACAATTACAAAACAATGGCACACGGATGGTCCTGTTGGCCTCCTCGGATCGTGACCTCCAGCATTCACTGGGGCGGTTTGCAGCCGAGTGTGAAGCGGCGGGGATGAGAGTTAGCACCTCCAAATCTGAGGCCATGGTGCTCTGCCGGAAACCGGTGGATTGCTCCCTCCAGGTGGGGACGGAGTGCCTACCTCAAGCGAAGGAGTTCAAGTATCTCGGGGTCTTGTTCACGAGTGAGGGTAAGATGGAGCGGGAGATCGACAGACGGATCGGTGCGGCTGCAGCAGTAAAGCAGGCGCTGCACCGGACCGTCTTGGTGAAGAGGGAGCTGAGCCGGAAGGCAAAGCTCTCAATTTACCACTCGGTCTACGTTCCTACCCTCACCTATGGTCACGAACTCTGGGTCGTGACCGAAAGGACAAGGTCGCGGCTACAAGCGGCCGAAATGAGCTTCCTCCGTAGGGTGGCCGGGCTCAGCCTTAGAGATAGGGTAAGGAGCTCGGTCATCAGGAGGGAGCTTGGAGTCGAGCCGCTGCTCCTTCGTGTCGAAAGGAGTCAGCTGAGGTGGTTCGGGCATCTAATTAGGATGCCTCCTGGACGCCTCCCACTGGAGGTTTTCCAGGCACGTCCAACTGGGAAGAGACCCCGGGGAAGACCCAGAACACGCTGGAGGGATTACATCTCCCAGCTGGCCTGGGAACGCCTCGGGATCCCCCAGAATGAGCTGGAACATGTTGCCGGTGAGAGGGAGGTCTGGGTCGGCCTGCTTGGCCTGTTGCCACCGCGACCCGACCCCGGATAAGCGGAGGAAAATGGATGGATGGATGGATGGCACACGGATAAAGTATAACAAATGTCACTAATACAAAGAAAGGATATTCTTCAAAAATCCACAAATAATGTTTGGCCTGTCTGACTGTAACAACACAATTGATTTATATTTGAATTAATGGGAAATTTAAAAAAATACTTTGACAAATCCCTTTCTCTGTAATTCATTATGCTTTCATATTTATATTAAAAAATATATGATACTTGTCTCCCCCGGGATTGTAATTACAAAGGTTGCAGATCCACTGGTTTCTATCCAGCCCTTTATATCCTAATCCTGGTGTTCACTCTAAATTTACAAATACTGAGTTTAACAGTGCACAGACAACAAATCAACAAATAGTGATGAACGTGCCATGCCATTGTGGAGATTATTGCATTTACGTATATAAAGTGTCTTTATATCACACGCGTAAAGTGTAAATTCTGATTTGTTATCAGATCAGGACCTTTCTACTTAAGCCAAAAAGTTAAGTGTCAGTTGGCCACAATGTCATGAACCTATGACCCAGTTAAATACCCTTTGTAATCTTCTTCGGCATTTAGCTTTCAACTGTTTTTGTTGTTGTTGCATTCATTACAGGGCTCTCCACATAGCTGTGGTACAGGAGGAGTTGGTCCTCGTCCGCAAACTGATCCAACTACTGCTGTGGGCTCGCAGAGGCGTTGATGTCTACAACAACCTCCGTCAGGTAAAATAAATGCACTTTAAACACACACGTACATGCATGCACACACAGCTGCTATCATTACTTTTGCAAGTGCAGAATTCAAATCAATAGTTTGACATTTGAGGGAAAATGTGGCAGCCATCCAATGTACAGAAAGATTTTTTTAGAGGTTTCAGTTCAAATCAGAGGATCGCCGGTTCGATCCCCGGCTCCGCTAGTCAGTGTCGACGTGTCCTTGGGCAAGACACTTAACCCCAAGCCTGCGGTGTGTGAATGGGTATGAATGGTTAGTTAGAGTCCTGATAGGCAGGTGGCACCTTGCATGTAGCCCCTGCCATCAGTGTATGAATGAGTGTGAATGGGTGAACGACATGTAGGGTTAAAGCGCATTGAATGGTCGGAAGACTAGAAAAGCGCAATGCAAGTAGAAGTCCATTTACCATTTTATAACACATATGAACGAGGGCTCAGCGTCAGTCAGTATAACATGATGAAAGATAGACATAGAATAGAAAGGTGATGGGGTTTTCTGCCACCGATGAACACATGTAAAACACATTCCCCTGCTGCCTCACCCATCTGATAACAGTAACATGGAAAAGAATGAAAGAGGAAGTGCCTTGGTTTCCTCCTTGCCTTGCACTACGTTATTGCATACTCTTACAGTTATGGCAGCTGATAGTTATGCAGTGGAACTCACCCTTCCTGGTTTCTTCACCTGTACTTGCCACCACAAGCCAAAACAATGCATATCACGGGAAGGACTACATGTGTTTTCCAGCGTTTCGTTTTGTTTTGTACATGGTGTTCAGTTTCCCTATAGTTAGGGATTTTCAGGGTTTGCATGTTGGGTTTACCATGTTGTGAAATTCAGAAGAGACAGCCAAGATTCAAGCTGAGCAAATTGTGACTCCCGTGAACACTCCTGAACCCTGCACTCATATCTCATTATTTTGCCTCAACTAAAAACAAATTAACAGGCTGGAAAAATGAAATGACATAAGATGCAAACATGTCACTTTTAACTCATATTCCAGCAGAAACTTAGGTTTTTTTTTTTGCATATTAAGAGTCTGACTTACACTCTCTGTCCAGGGCAACTTCTACTATTTACACTCTACATATTTTAATGGACAAATGTACTCAATGAACTTTCATTGAGGTGACTCATCTTTCTTATAAGGGACAAATTACATTGTACTTTACTGGAATGTGAACAAGGAATTGTCTTTGAGTGTTTCCCAATCTAGGGCCGTCCCAAGCACTGGGCTTAAGCCAACACTCCTCCCTCTGTTGTCTCCACCTCCTCGTCCTCCTGCTTTGCATTCTACGAGCTTTCTTTTTTTCATCCTCCAGCAGAGAAAGCACCTGAGTCGTGCAGAGCTTTAGTTCTCATGGCTGGGGTTTCACACCACACAGGACACCACAGGCTCGCTTACCAGAAATAACGCTGGTGCTATCATCAGTTGTTGTCTTTCCTCATCGCTGAGGCTTGACAGTATAGGTTTTTTAATATCCTGTGTCTACCCTGTGTAAGAAAATGCATGCACGCGACATACACACACACACACACACACACACACACAAATACTCTTTTCACACACTCAAAGATATTATGCCACATGCATTTATAACCAAAAAGGGAGATTTTTAGGCACAGGTCCCGTCATACTTGTTTGCCTACCAGATTGGGTGGTTTTAGCTGAATATCAGGCATATAGAACAGACTTCAAACGGGAACTTTCTATTTTTCAAAACATTAAGTTTGCGAGACAAACCTGAACATATTTTCTGGCATTGGCCAACTTCCCAAAGACAAAAAAAAAATATATATATATATATATATAGCTTTTCCAATATTGATGACAAATCCTGAGTTTCTGTGGTTTCAGTATGGAACTTTTTGACAGAGTGTTACTATCAGTACCATAAACAATACTGCAAGTGTCTGTAGTTGATTTGCCTTCCACTCCACAAACTAGTGTAATGGTAGAGACCGCTGTTTGATACTCCCACACTGGTCATGCTATCAGTGTGGCTGCACAAACACACACTATAGTAGACAACTGTTTGCTGCTCACTCCACAGCTGATGGTGCAATGCGTGGCACTGACAGTGGGGCTTGGGGACTGAATCCCCAGGGGCCACCCACACTAAAACATGCACTAATGGTCATGTGCTTTAGATTAAAGACATCCACTAAAATGCATTTAATTTATACAATGCAGAATGCAGGTGATCTGCATTAATTCAATAATCACCTCTTAAAAGACACATTCACTGAAGTATTTAGTTCATGTCAGTTTGTTTACGTGCATGTTGGTAACATGCCATTTTTTTATTTATTTAGTGTGAGGGTGTGTGCACTAGCGAGACATCTGTGTGTGTGTGTGTATTTGTGTGTGCTTTATTTCCGAGAAGTCACATGACCCCCC